AAGAGTCTTTGTCGAGTGCTTTTTATCGGGGCACTCGGCAAAATAAAATAAAAATTACCGAGTGCTTGGGGTGGCACTCGGCAAAATATTTTCGGTTATTGCGGCGCCGGCCGTTAACGGTTATTTTGTCGAGTGCCCGACCCAGCACTCGGAAAAAAAAAATTATTTTTTAAAAAAATTACTTTGCCGAGTGCCCCAGCCCAGGCACTCGGCAAAGTTTTTTTTATTTTTTTTAAAAAAGTACTTTGCCGAGTGTCCCTGTCCAGGCATTCAGCAAAGTTTTTATTTATTTTTTTAAAAAAAATTACTTTGCCGAGTACCCCTGCCCAGTCACTCGGCATTTTTTTATTATTTTTTTTAATAATTTCTTTGCCGAGTGCCCCTGTTTAGGTACTCGGCAAAGAATTTCTGAATTTTTTTTAAAAAAAATACTTTGCCGAGTGCCGCGGCGAGACACTCGGCAAAGAAAATTTATATATTTTTTTTGAAAAATCTTTGCCGAGTGCCTTGCCCATGGCACTCGGCAAAGACCCCGAGAATTGCAAAAAAAAAATTACATTCCATTGTAACAGACATCTCCACGTGTGATCACAGCCTCCACATGTGGAGATGTCTGGGTTTTTGGCATCCGACGTCACAACTTATTCTAAACCTTTTCAATTTTTTACCACAGCCTCCACATATGATAACACGACGCCTCGACAAGTTTCGTGATTTTCGGACTTCGTTTGCATTTTATACAATTTAAAATCACATTTCCAGCAAATACCTCGACATGTTACGTCAACGAGATGCTCGAGATTTCATGTGAGTTCCTGGATACGGCCTAAACATACCATAAATACCATGAATATCAATTTTTGGATGACCAAAGTTCATTATTCGATGCACTGCAGTTTAAATTTGAAATATCCCAAAAAATTCGACGAAACGAAATAAACTAATGAAATATATCAAAAAAAGTCAAAATTGTCCCAAATTTTAAAATAGAGTTTTAAATACTGTCACAAGGCCCTAGAAAAAAATTTGGGCCCAAAATCAAAAAAAAAATGCTGAGTGCCATGGGGGCACTCGGCAAAGTTGATTTTCAAAAAAAAAATTGCCGAGTGCCTGGCGCCGGCACTCGGCAAAATAAGTTTTAAAAAATTTTAAAAAAAATTGCCGAGTGCCATGGGCTGGCACTAGGCAAAATATGTTTTAAAAATAAAAAAAATTTACCGAGTGTCAGCCGTTAAGCACTCGGCAAAATCTGACGGCAGGTGGCCGCCGTCACGGGCCGGCCACCTTTTGCCGAGTGGGATCTTTGCCGAGTGCCGCGGCACTTGGCAAAGCCACCTTTGCCGAGTGCTTTATTTTGCCGCGTGCGGCACTCGGCAATTGCTTTGCCCAGTGCCCCGATAAAAAGCACTCGGCAAAGTCTCAGGTACTCGGCAAAGTCTAGTTTTCCAGTGGTGGTTAGCTGTCCGGTTTACATAAGAAAAATAAATCACATCCAAATTCCTGCTAAGCTCTTGGACATCATCCTAGATGTCGCAGTTGCAGAACGAGCTCCCTCCTGCGTCTCGACTCTTGAGTAGATAATTCATTTTTTTCTCAAAGGATGTTTTCTATGACATATTTGCACATGTATACAAAGTTCAGTGACCTCCGATATATATAACATATAGAGTTGCAGGAAATATCCTTAGTTTTGTTTTTGTTATATGTTAAGCACAACAAACCGAGTAGACTTTAAGCTCGAATACAATATACGCGGGCTTTGATGTTGTACCGCACTCCAGGATATCAAAAAGAACTCGTTGTCCAATCATTCGATCCAACTACTTTAGTTCCGAACGAGCTTCCTCAGTTGCTTGGATTGGATAGTTGAACAGCTTTAATTCAGAGATAGAGTAGGCCAGGATAAAAGCAGCACTATGCCCTGTTCGTTTGTCTTATAAGTCGTACTGTTTCGACGAAGAAATAGTATTTTTTTCTCACAACAAATCAGCGAACAGTACTTTTAGTCATGGCTTTTCAGTGAAGCGGACAGGGGCCATGAATGAATCATGAAAGTATGATCTCTTTGCTTAACGACGCCCAAAGCAAGCCGATATGCCAAACGTAGCACTGTAGCAGCACTAAGCGAATAGGTTGCAATGGTGCGAGCGCATGGTCTGAGCGTCTAACTGCCAATGGAACTGAAAATTGCATGCTATTCACTGATTTGGAACGTACTACGTCAAGCTGGCAGCTGGAAACCTTCTTGTTTGCCATTCCTGGTGAGGTCTTTGTGGATTTGTCACAATCTGCGCCAGGACAGCAGGGTCAATCCAGCCTTCCAAGTACACGCCGACCACCTTTTTTAGACCCAAAAAAAAAAACGAACCAGCCAAGTTGGACTGGGGCGTCTAATTTGGAACGGCAGACTGTTCAGTCAAATCGAGTCACCTCTGACACGAACGATAAATCCGGGTCAGTTTTCTTCCAATACGGGCAAATTTTATCCGCGGACACACATCAATCAATCAATCGCGTAACAAACAATTTGTTACGTTATACTGAGGCCTGTTTGATCAAATGATCTAGGTTCATACATCAAACAGATAGCCTAAAAGTGGGCTATTTTTTAGGTTTGCACCCAAAAGCCCTATATTTCATTAGTTGTCGAAGTAAGTCTAACCGGCCTAAAAGCTGCAACAGAGCATACAGAGGTATCCTGCTACCTGTTGTTTGCATATAAAAAAGAATTACATGACAAGAATTTGCACAATCTCAGATGGCAAGTGTTTAAAACATGCATGGAACACTGGAACGTGCTTCATGAACAACGCAAACTAATATATTTTTAGTCTATGCATCCAAACATCACTAAACTTTAGTCATCTATATTTTAATTCACCTAAAATTTAGTCTAACTAAACTTTAGTCTTGAATGATCTAAATAGACCCTAGCTCGAGTAATCAACGGAAGCCGGTGCATGCGCGGTTAAGACGCACACACGGGACGTTATCGACGTGTCGTTCTCCAGTCTCCAGTGGATAAAATTTGTTCGTCTCTATTGCAAGCCATAAGTATACATCTACTCCACTCCACACATCATAAGTCTCGACTGTCGCTTTCGCCTCTCGGTCTCGTCAAATCTTTGCATTGCAGTGGCCGGCGGCAGCGGCGTGCAAGCCATCGTCAACGCGCTGGTGTGCTCGCCAGCGACGCAGCGCAGCTAATCCGGGGCCGGGAACAGCGCACGCTGGAACAGTCGCCACGGCGCATCGCACTCGCACGGTCGCACCGTCGCAGCGTCGTAAACCACGGGACGGGGCGAACAAACCGAACCAACCGAGCAAAACGAGAAAAAGGAAGGAAAAACAAAGCAAACGGACGGGCGCCGCCACCACCCAACCCACCGTCTCCTTCCTGCCTCCCCTGGCCTTCGGGTCCGGTCCTTCCTCCCACCCCCGTGTACCGTCCCACCGCACCGGCCTCCAGCTGCTCCAACCCCCAACAGCCGGGACGCCGCCTCGTGTCCGGCACGCCATTTCCTCCCTCCCCGGCCCCCGCTCCTTTGCCTCGCTAAAACCCATCGAATCGACGCACGTCCTGACACTCCTGCTCCCCTGTCGCCACCGCGTCGCGCGCGGGCAGCGCCTCCCCCTCCCTTTCTCGCGGTCGCGGCACCCCACAGCTATCACCCGACCTCCCACCGCCACCGCCGCCGGCGGCGGCGGCCTGCTCCGAATCCGGAAGGACGCCAGTTCGATCCGCCGCAGGGAGGTGCGCCCGCCAGCCTCCACCTCCGGATCCGATCGCCCGCCGGGTGGGTTGAATTCGGTACGTCCCCTTGCGGGTTTTCGATCCGGCCGGTGCTTTCCTTACGGCGGAATCTTCGTGTTAGGTGGTGCGGTTGATGGATTGCTCGTCGTCGGCTTGTTTTTTAACTTCTCCCTTCTGCTCCCCCTGCTTCGAGTTTGTCTGGGGACTCGGTGCTTGGCGATTAGCGACCTGGTGTGCTGCGCTTCGCGTGTGGCATTTTGAACCGTGTTAGACGAGATCTGGTGTCAGTAGTTCTCAGATGCTTGTGGCGCGCTGCGTTGTTACCTCTGCGGCTTAGCACGTTCCCTGTCCCTGGATGCACTAACAGTAGTAGATGTGTTGATAGCGTCCCAGGTATAGTGTTGCTCATCATCTGATCTTATTATTTGATAGTGCGCATACTCATATGTGTTGGATAAATGGTTGTAGCATTCAATCCCTTGCGCCTTGTGGATTATTAAAGATATCATCGATATACTCTACCACATATGCTTTATCGTTAGATATTATGGGTTTGTGTTCCTAGAACTTTTGTGCAGTCAAATGCTTCCTCTGATAATAGTTTACCAAACTGTTGCCCCCATAGCTTTTTTATGGCCCATCTTTGATGTTGGTATCCCAGGAATGGCTGCAGGGAAAAAAAATTCAACTGATCCCTTGGCCATTTTCTTTAGAGATTAGAGAAAAGGTCTCCCTTGCTGTATTTTCATCGAAAACAAAGCGAACAAAAGTCTTAAATCTCCTAGATCAATTTCTGACGATGGCAGTTGAAAAGCTAAGCATGACGGCCTAATAGCTTGAGTGCTGAGCTCAAGATTTCAGATTGATATTTGTATGATACTTGGAGCAGGAATATGCATAGTGACACCCTTTTTCACAGTATGGAGTATAAAAGATGGGGCACACACTTACATACCAAAAGTTATTACTGATAGGAAATCACAATGTTCTTTTTGCTGAATGTGCTTCAGCAATGCGATTGGTCAAGGAGGCCGCTTTTTTTTTGTGCGTGGGAATGAGACTCGCTATGTGGCATTATATATTTACCAGACATTTGCATATAATATCTGTTTCCTTTAACTGCAGCTGACTTAATTATACTGACCTTCTCGTATGGCATTGGAGCCGTGATGCCTCATCCATCTCTAAAGCTGTATAAAATTCATTGCTTGGATCAATGTTCTGAAGTGCTGTCTAACAGGCAGAAATGGATGGAACCGAGCTTGAAAATCCTACTTCTAGAGGCTCATCCCAGAAATCTAACCGACGTTCTAGTAGTAGGCGTTCTCAAAAGTCAGCTGGACAGCATTCTTTGACCAGTACTCAAGAGAAAAGAAGCAAATCGAAATCTTCAAGGCAGAAGCACTTGGTTATTGACGACAAAGAGGCTAAAAAAGGAAAAAACCATGCCCACAAAATTGATGTGGCAGATGAGAGGTCCAATTTTCTAGGTTATGAAGTGTATGCTGGAAAGCTGATTTTTGATAAGAAAAATAGAAGTGCAAGTGATAATAATCAGTTACCATCAAACGGAAAAGCTGATGCAATTGATGCTAGACTCACAAGTAAAGCTCTGATCTGGGGCAGCTCAGTACTCCTCCTGGAGGATGTCGTCTCTGTAAGTTCAGACAATAACATGTGTCTCTATTATTAATTAGATCTGTTTCATCACTTTACTGATATTTTGTCTCTGCTTATATTTTGGCAGGTATCATATAATTCGGGAGTCAAACATTTTACATTGCATGTGTACCCAACTAAAAAATCTTTATTTGGAAAGACATGCAGAGTTCAGAAAGACTTCTGCTTTATAGCCTCTACCCTTGACGAGGCCATTTTGTGGGTGACATGCTTTGCTGAACAAAGTATATATGTTAATTTACTACCTCGCCCTGGAGCATCTAGTATCAATCAAGACTCAGAGAATCCCCTCAGTGAGTCTTTATTCGACCAGCCACCGATTAAATGCAAATCTCCGCAAAGAGTACTTGTTATATTGAACCCTCGATCTGGACATGGTAGATCAAGTAAAGTTTTCCATGAGAAAGCCGAACCTATATTTAAGGTACTTTTGATGTCTATGCATGCAAATTGCAAAGTATAAACAACTGGTGGTTTGAGTAGCTACGTTTAACTATTTTTCTGATAAAGTTTCTTCTTGAATTTCTAATGAATTTCCTTTTCCAACTTGATGTTGCTAAGCTTAGGATATACTTGTTCATGGCTTGGTTGCAACTTGTTGGATATCTTCTATAATTTCAATTTGTGCATGTGTGAACTGAAAAGTCATAGACATCTGTTTTTGTGTTATTGAAAATATATGAGATTGCCACATCGACAGATTGTTAGTCTCTTTGTCCTCGTGCGACTCTGCAGTAATAATTGGTAAGCAATGGAAATAATGAATGCTACATTGGGACTGGAGTGAAAGGTTGCGTTTGATTCATTATGCAATGACCATTTAGTCTCACTCCTCTGGTAGTGGAGCAAAATTTACTGTTCTAGAAAAAAATAGAGCAGTAGCCAGTTACAACTGCCTATGTGTGGCATCGTCATCTCTTGAGAAGGAATATAAAATGTTTTTACAGATGCATATTGTATGCCACATTTGTGTTACTAGCTTGAGAAGGGCGGGCCTGGTGCAAGCGGTAGAGTCTTACCGCCTGTGACCAGAAGGTCCCGGGTTCGAGTCGCGGTCTCCTCGCATTGCACAGGCGAGGGTAAGGCTTGCCACTGACACCCTTCCCCAGATCCCGCACAGAGCGGGAGCTCTCTGCACTGGGTACGCCCCTTTATTTGTGTTACTAGCTTGAGTTAAAATCTTTGCACATTTTCTGCTTTACTGCATACATATTTTTTGTTGCTACTTTTAGCTACTACTAATTCAGTGATAAAATTGATGCAGCTTGCAGGTTTTCAGATGGAAGTTGTTAAAACTACTCATGCTGGGCATGCAAAATCTCTTGTATCTACATTTGATTTCAGTGCATGCCCTGATGGTATGAACATTAATCATGTAGATATGTGAATTATCCAATTCCAATGTAGAGACAACCGTTTTAACTGGTATTCCCTTAATGATACCATGAAATTTTTGCAGGAATCGTGTGTGTGGGTGGTGATGGAATTGTGAATGAGGTTTGACTTTGCTATTCATATTATAGTTTTTTTAGACGGTTCATATTATATATGGTTAGGGATAATTATGTTATTTGCTAGCTCATTATTTATAGCGCTACAGGTGCTCAATGGTCTTCTCATTAGAAGTGATAGAGCAGAAGCTGTATCAATTCCAGTTGGAATAATTCCTGCTGGGTCTGACAACTCACTTGTCTGGACTGTTTTGGGAGTTAGAGATCCTATTTCTGCATCATTATTAATTGTTAAGGTATTCCAAGTTTCAAGTTTTTTTGTCAAAGACTCCATCACTATCATTACTGTTGGTGTTTTATGCCTACTTCCTATATGATAGAGTGTCAGCAGTATTATTTTGCTTAATTTTGATTTTGTTCAAATAAGGCTGCTACTAAATCTTGTTCTCATGAGGATAAATTCCTTCGTGACAGGGTGGCTTCACAGCTCTAGACATCTTGGCTGTCGAGTGGATTCAATCTGGGCAAATGCATTTTGGCTCAACTGTTTCATACTATGGTTTTCTTAGTGATGGTAACCTCTAAGCCATTTATTTGGATCTCTCCAGTGTTTTCATTTCTGATTATTATTATTCTGCTGTGTGTTGCAACTGTTTTTACTGGTTATTAGATACTAGATTTTACCCTTTTGGAGAATACCATCGAATCACATGTGCCTTAAATAAATACTAGGATCTTGCCTTTGCTGTGGTTATTTAGTTACCTTTTTGTGATTTATATGTGCAATGCAGTTGTGTTATCAACTGCTAGAGGCAACTCTTATATAAGTGTAACATCATATCCGATTAGCTAAGATGCCAGTCTGGGAGAAATCTGTTTTTAGGTCCATTCTTAAATAAATATGTGATTTGACAGCATGCATATTTTTAAGCCTGTTATGAATTAGCTTTCTTTTATAAAGAAATTATATAGCATTATCACTTATGACTATTCTTCATGCCTTTCAACATCTGAGTACATTCGTAATGAATAATTAATAAAAATCATTTATCTGAATTGGCCACTCATAGAAATTTAGTGTGTCCGTCCACTTTCCAATGTTTGCATCAGTGAAAAATTGAGGACATTGTGAAGCTGAAAATTTTCTTACTACTTTGCAGTCCTGGAACTTTCTGAGAAATATCAAAAGAAATTTGGTCCTCTTCGATATTTTGTGGCAGGAATACTGAAATTTTTGTGTTTGCCAAGCTACTTCTATGAACTAGAATATCTTCCTGTGTCAAAGGAGATGGCCGTGAATGGAAAAGGTACAGGTCAAGACAAGACCTACTTGTCCAATGTCTATACTGATGTAATGCACAGCAGATCAAAGAGAGAAGGAATTCCAAGAGCCTCCAGTTTGTCCAGTATTGATTCTATTATGACTCCGAGTCGGATATCACTTGGGGATGTTGATACATCAGGTAGTACAGTGGCAAGCACTGAACCATCAGACTACGTACGTGGTCTCGATCCGAAAGCAAAACGCTTCTCTCTGGGGAGAAGTAACATTGTTTCAGAACCTGAAGAAGTGCTACACCCTCAACCACATCATGGATCATTCTGGCCAAGAACCAGGTCGAAAGCAAGGGCTGAGAGAAATTCAGTTGGTGTAACATCTACTAATGACACACGGTTGTCTTGGGCAGCCCCATCAATGCATGATAAGGAAGACATTTCCTCAACAATATCAGATCCAGGACCTATTTGGGACTGTGAACCAAAGTGGGACACCGGGCCAAAATGGGATAGTGAGCTAACTTCGGAGCCTGACCACCCCATTGAACTTCCTGGACCACAAGAGGACATGGAAATGGGAGCACCAATGGAACTTGTTCCAAATTTGGATGAGAAATGGGTAATTAGGAAAGGGCACTTTCTTGGTGTCCTGGTATGCAACCATTCATGCAAGACGGTGCAAAGTCTGAGTTCACAAGTTGTTGCACCGAAGGCAACCCATGATGACAACAGCTTGGACTTACTTTTAGTTGGTGGAAAAGGAAGATGGAAATTGCTGAGATTTTTCATACTTCTGCAATTTGGTCGCCATCTCTCTTTGCCTTATGTTGAATATGTGAAGGTATCTTAACTAATCTTCTCAAGCCATTTGCCCATTCCTTCCTTTTTTTTGCCCTAGTGTTTGTTTTCCTTTCTGACTTTTGCGTGAAAATATATACATAGAGGTGAGACTAATCTTATCATATTATCTAATTGGGTGTCCTCAAGAACTTTAAACTGGATCAATGTTATGTAGTTTTGCATCAACTTTGGCATGCTCTTATGCATTCTAAGTAGGCATATTTCCACTCTGTATGTTTTCATTCCTATTAAGTGTGTGTGTGTGTGTGTGTGGGGGGGGGGGGTATCTTATGATCAACATGTTCCAAATGAAACTAGTGAGCTTGTCAATGAAGTTGTAAGATGTATCTTCCACACTTATTGTTGACCTTAATTATTTGAGACCTCAAAACAAAATGCTAGCTGTTTGTTACCTGTACAGCTTCTGATGGCTATGCTGTGAGGTCTGTGTAGTACCATTATCAGCTCTAGTCATGGACCACCACTGAGAGCTTCGTTAAATAAGAATGTTTGTTTGTGAATGAAGCTGCTCTGTTTTTTTTTTGGCACAAAAGCTGGTTTTCCTAATAATCCTAACAAGAATGCTGATATTGACACAGGTGAAGTCAGTTAAGCTTAAACCTGGAGCAAACACTAACAGTGGCTGTGGCATAGATGGCGAGCTTTGCCGTGTCAAGGGACAAGTACTCTGCTCCCTGGTGCCGGAGCAATGCAGACTGATTGGCCGACAATGTAGACAATCTATTTAAGCGCTGTGTTGTTGAATTTCATGGGGCTTGGGTTCTTTCCACTTCTAACAACTAATGTTTATATAGTGATACTTTCTGATGGGACCAAGCGTGGGTTGGTGTTGCAGATCTTGAGAGTTTGAACCGGACAAGCAATGTTGTGAGGTTTCTGTATATTTGAGGTTATAGGATGATAGACGTGTTTGGGAGAGCTTTTCTGAGTCTCGCTTATAAGCTGAGCAGGCTTATCTGATAAGTCACGATCTGGAGAATCTGCTGTCTGAATAAACTGGGCGTTTGGCTTTCCTGATTATTTCTGGGTGATTATCTGTCCTGGATGTAAATTGACCTATCTACCCCTGGGCGGAGTCAGAGACCTTGTCCTCCTCGTCCGGATGTGCCCCCCCACAGAGACCTCGCTGGCTCCCTCCTCCTCTTCCTCCTCCTCCTCCTGCTCCTCGCCTTCCGGCACGGCGTGGGCAGGCGGCACCCCTCCGGGCTCCACCATCATCTTCCTCCCGGCACGGAAACGGCGGTGCTTCAAGGGGTGGCGCCGGCCGAGGGGGAGGAGAGGGCCGCCAGCGCCCTTCCTTTAGATCCAGCGGAGGGGAGGGGAGGGGAGGCGAGCCAGAGAAGAGGAGGTGAGGACCGTCGCCGGAGTCGGATCCGCCGCTCCCGTGCCGGATCTGCCGCGCCGGAGTCGGATCCGCCGCTCCCGTGCTGGATCCGCTGCACCGGAGCCGGATCTGCCGGAGGAGGGGGACGGGCCTCGCGCGCCACTGCCGGAGGAGGGGGACGGGCCCCGCGCGCCCGCCAGGAGACCCGCCTCGGTCGCGGTCGCCAGGGTGCCGCGTGCCCGCCTCGGTCCCGCCGGGGGGCGCGTGCTGGGGAGAGGAGGGAGGGCCTCGGGTCTGAGGGGCAGGGAGAGGAAAATCCTACGCGATTTGGAAAAGCGGGGTCGAGCTCGCGATTTGGGAAGCGTTGCGGGCGACGATCAGTTGCGGAAGCGCGTTCGCTGGCAGGCTCATAACGCAAGGTGTTTGTGCGGGCTTTTTGGCTTATCTTGCTCAGAAGCTGAGCAAACGCTCTCCCAAACACGCCCGATATGTTGATTCTGTTTATTTCTGTTGCGTTTGCTTATATATTCAATAGAGTTCACTCCCCATTTGGTGCGGCGGGAAGTTTGGTGTTTTTGATTGCCCTTCAGTTCATGACTTCATTTCGCCAGTAATCGTGCAAATTGTACGCTTCGTCCAATACGTATTACAGATAACATGATTTGATTGGATCTTAATTTATTTGCTAATAATGCTTGCTTGAACGAATTCTACTGAATACTGAAATGAACCAGAATTTTCAAACAAAAATGTTGACCCTTATGTTTCTCACTGATAGTATCAGGATACCTCGTCTAGCACATTTAATAATTTTTTAATTGGTTATAAATCCACGCAAGCATTTTAGAGTACATATATAGCAGTAAGATTATTACATATTCTTTTGAGTGCAAGCCCTTTGAGCTAAATCAAACAAAAACATCAGATACAAGGATGTAAACGTTGCATTGAAACTTGGCGAACTTCCATTCCCACATTCATCCTTGAGTGTAAACGTTGCATTGAAACTTAGCAAATTTACATTCCCACATGCATCTTTGAGTGTGGATGTATTTAACTACCATTCTCAAAAATACATTCACCGAAGTTTATTGTACCCGCACTAGTGATTTTCTATGAACACCGTATTTCTCATGTGTGCACCGGAGGCAAAAAACTAGTTGTTGGACGAATGGACGTCACCCACTTTACCTATGATCAGAGTTTAGTTATAAATAACATGACATAAACAAATAGACGATTAAAATGTAGTTTAGAAGACCGTGTAAGTCAAATCGTGCTTGTAAACTAGGATGAAGAGAGTTTGTTTCTTAATGAACCTAGTAATAAAACTTACAAAGATTTTGATTTAAAAGCAAAACTAGTGGGTAGTCTTACAAGCAAAGCAACCACTTTATATATACCACGTCGAGAGTGGGAAAAACCGAAATCTTGGAGGTGCACGAGTGTGAAAGACTTACGTCTAAAATTCTTGTGGCCTTTATTTTCTACACGATGTTTCTCTGCTCCTGGCAGCGCCGCCGACAGCAATTTCCAAAACACTAGAAAACCATGGGCACAGTGTTGCCGCGCCAGCTAGGGCTGTTCCAGTAGAGAACCTGTGAGTAGTATTGGCGGTGGCCATGTATCGAGATGGAAAATATAACATATGACTTATTGGTAGTGGCCTTATCTCCGATTGATAGGTCACTGTTCGAGAGCCAAATGCCGCCCGAAAGGGTGGATTGCCGATCGTGCTACAAAGAGACCAACAGTTCATGCTTATCGTTCGGGAGACAAATTGCTTGATATTTAATTTTCTATATAATTTTTTATCAAACTTGAGATGCTTTAGCTCTCCAAGAAAATTTAAATGACTTATAATTTGGAATGGAGGGAGTACCTATTCATTATTCATTTGGTTTTGTCCCTTTTCAGATTATGTAGTGAAATATAATCGATAATCGCTAATAAGTGATCTGCTCAGGTTATGGCACAACCTAAATTGATATTTTCTATTTCGAATTGGATGCTTTGCTGAAATATGCATTTTTTGATCTTGCAAAAATAAAATTGGCTACAGGAACACCGATCACTATGAGAGATGAATTTTGTGAAGCAGTGAAGCTTAGCTACCCTAATGAAGTAGCATCAAAATCAAAGAACATTTCGATTTTCACCTAATGGTAAGGATCATGTCTATTTCTGAATAAGCACTTCACTCCTTTTTGCAAACTTAATCGAGGCAGTAACAGTTTATAATTTTGAGCTGAAATAGCTACCAAAAATAAATAAATTGAATGAACATGTCTATGAGTATGTTGTTTACAACGTTAACCATTGTGATGTTGTTAATATCCAACGTAATTAATAGCTATTTTAAATGGAACTTACATATAAAAGTAACAACAGGACTGCAATGGTTATTATTGCATATGCCAAATGGCCTCAGTTCATTCAGAATAGAAGAAGGGACCATATACATCTAATGGTTCTCATCACTGCATGTGCCAAATGCCTCAATTCAAAAAAAAAATACAATAGAAAGATCATAAAAAAGTGATAATCATCATTGCATATTCCCATATACCTTAGTTCAGAAAAGAAAATAGACAGATGGATGGTAATCATCATTGCATATTCCCAAATCTCATAGCTCAATGAAAAATTATAGTCATTATATAAATTGGTGCCATTGTATGCATACATAGCTACAACAACAGCTACGGTAAGCTTTGATTCCAACATCATTGGAACTAAACAGTATTGAGTTCAATAACACAAAAAAACAGACATGGACATATATATTTCTTATCTTGTAGATCGTCCATGAGAGGTGAAGTGAATGATGTCTGATGCCTTGACTTCAATAGTAGGTCGCACCTAAAGAGATATGGAACTATTTTAGATTAAAAAATCTGTCACGACCCGTAAGCTATCTGGAAACAAACGTATAAGTAATGAACATGTAGAAGTGTGGGTATTTTTTGAAGGATGAAATATAGCATGTTAAAATGCAGTAAACTATTAGTATATGCCCCTGACTAAAGTGATGCTGTATTAAGAATTTAGTAGTGAAGAAAAGCACCGTAAAGAAGTATCCTTCATATTTATAAGGTACTGCTCCATGTCATTGAAAGGATTGGGCCTATGCAGTTCAAAGATGTTAGGTATCATCTTATTAATGTCAATATTGATCAGAGTAAACCTTCAGAGCCTTTGCTGTTCTTTTTCTGGAGTAGTGACTAAATGTCTAAATCATTCAAAAAATTGTTTAATGGTGAAAGGAGAATATAGTTGAATATAGAACACTATGATAAAAAACCGATTTATAACCAAAATTCTAAGACATCATTTGTAACATAATCTCGCTATCCTGCTTATCGTGATCCTGTCCATGTTGTTTTTACAGTTTATTGTAAACTATTTCCAACTATAGTGCACACCCTTCTTAATTTTTTAGAACCATGTTTGAGAAGATACTCTTAGTCTGATTAAAATTCTACGCCAATGTGGATTCAATCTATCAATATTCATAGCATAGTACAGATTAACACATCTGTTTACTTGCATTTTGTATAAGAGTAAAGAGAAGAGAGAGAGAAAAAGGCATGTTAGCACTCACCAGGATATACCTCATAGACATATCGTCGAACACTTGTGTGCAGCCTCCAGGTTGACGCCAACCATGGTGTCAGAGATGATGGTGGTCGTGGCCGCAGTGGTGACAAATGGTGGCTTCGGGACCGCATCCAGACACAGTCGGTGCAGGCTGCAGTGATGCAATAGCAGACCGCTGGGTAGGTGAAAGGTCCTTGTTTGGTTTTGGTAATTGAGTGACAACCTAGGTGGGCTAATTGTGTTTATGTGAGATACACAGGTAATTAGTCCATAGGTACATGTGTGTGAGCAACATATGCCATGAAGGTGAAAATGGCTTAGAGATGTTGCAAAGCTCACACATGTGATGATGAAGGAGCTTAACGCACATGAGACATGACATTGAGTCATGTGATCAAGGTGGAGAAGATCAAGACAAGACTTGGCTTGATGGACCGGTTGCAAGCATGAAGGGCAAGTCGAAGGCTTTGGAGTGATGGACCGCGTGGCGGTGAAGCTTGAGCAAGACTTGGCGCCGATGGACGATGGCAACGGTGAAGGGCAAGTGAAGTCAAGATCGATGAACCAATATGATCACGTGATGATATGAAGTGGATCATATCATTGTTGATCGTGTTGGTGCATGTGTTGCATCGACATTGGAGGAGATGGAATGGAATGCGTAAGGCAAAGGTATAACTTAGGGCATTTCATTTCACCGGTCATAGGTGTGTAGAGAAGTTGATGACCGGGTTTAGGATAGATGGCCGTACTATTAAGAGGAGCAAACTTGTTTGCATATCGGTCATCTAGTGCCACTCGAGT